CCGATGCTTCTCCATTTCAGGCATTGAGTTCATGCCTTTCTTGTTCTGAGCACTCTGATTCAGAGCACAAGAAGATCTGGATAAAGCCGTTTCTGTGTTTCCTGCTTTTTACTTAGGCTTTAATAGACAGAATATTGGTGTCATCTGTGAAGTGCAAGAGGGATCTCCCTTTGAATCAGCTCCCACTGGTAATCAACACTATGAACTTGAGGTTGTTGTTGACCTTCCAATCCTTATGAAAGGGATCAGAGCTGAAGAAAAACAGTGTGACTACTATGAGAAAATAACAATAATTAAATCAAACATAATATTTTTTTCTGAAAACTAAACAGCATGCATTGAAATACCTGAGAATTTTAAATGGGATTTTTTTCTCTCCTTCCCTCCATGTCTGGTTGTCATTCAGCTGTCCATATCAAATGCTGATATGCACAAATAATGAAAGAGGAAAGGAATGTGGGGTTTGCCTTTTGGAAAGACTACCTATTAAATTCTTTAAGCTCTTGACTTGAAACACAAAATACATAATTAAAAATTTATATTAATATTTATGTATCAGCATGTGCCTCACTCCTATCCTTCTGTTCCCACCTGAAATTGAACCGTGGAACTGCACAAAAGAGTCCACAATGGAAAATGTAGATCAAATATTGTTACAATTTAAATATGATGTTGGCAGAGACAAGACAAAACTAATTTAATTTTTCCTGTCAGTCTCTGTAGTAGATCAATTAAACTGCCAAGTGGATCAAATATTTCAGACTGTATTTATTACATTAAGTATTTATGTTCAGGCTGGGCATTTAAAGTATGATCTCATATAGGAATAGGAGGAGGTTCAGATCAATCCAGCAGAATTTGCTGTAAGTTAATGGAAATCTAATTGTGTATTTTAATTTTGTGTACAGGAGGCAGTTAGTCCCTGAAAGAAATCAAACAGTACCCTGTCCATATTGCAGCAACTTGATACAAATACTATTAAACTTATCTCATACTATTAAACTTATCTTAGATTGTCACAGATGTTGGTGGGAGCTGGATCAAGATCTAGGGCTAATGACTGAACCCTCACTGATTTTGATGGGAGCTGGATGCCTGAAGTCCTCTGAAAAATCAAAATAAGTAGGGACAAGTCCTTCCTTTCCCACTGTGGGCTCAGGGCTACTGCAATAAGGTGTTAAAAACCACTGTTGCCTGCTGCATATGGATGCCTCTTTCTTGGTCAGCATCACTTTTCTAGACATTGTGGGCTCACTGATGGGCAGGTGGAGACCTTGGACTTCTGAGTGACCCATTGCTGGTCTTGGCTTTGTGCTGGCAAAGTCCAATACATTTCACTGGACTTATTACCTGCAGATTCGGATGACTGCAAGGTAGAGTCAACTGTCTTTACAACATACATGAAAAAGGGACAGGGCTAAATCCTATTCTCCTCTATTCTAGCTGGACCCTGGAGCAAATGATGCTTTTTACTTTAGTTTTTTTTCATGTGTGAGCTGTTTGCAAGTATTTTAACCTCAGTGAAAATGAAAGGAATGATTTTTGGGTGAATTATTGCTAGAGATAGCTTAGTTTCCACCACAGGTAACTGTACCCTCAGGTTGCAGAGCCACTAGGTAATATCAGGGCTAATTATTAAGCAAAGAGCTTAGGCTGGTACTGAATACTGATAAATATTTTATTCCTCTAACAACAGAATGAAAGTTATTCTTAGGGGATGGAGCTGATTCTGGCTTTTTTGAAAAGGGAAAGGCTACTTTCCACTTCTCTCCACCTCCCACTAAGCAATGTCTGTGCCCAGTCCTGGATTAGGCACTGCAGGGCAGCCCTCCTCTCAGCCTGGGAGCTGAACAGCTGTGCTTGAAAGCCTCATTCAGTTTCTTTTAGGAAGCAGCAGTGCAAAGGCAGTTGATGCTCCTGCAGGCCTCCTGGCTCCCCCATCTCCAAGCAGAACCTGAGGATAGTGGGGCTTGGTGCAAAAGACCTGCTGCAAACTGCAGGGACTCTGAAGGGCCTCTCCTCCCTCTTGTTAAAACAGTGGCTGTGATTCAACAGGGCAAAAAATTAATTTAATGAGCAGGACTGGTGATGGCAAAAACTGTAAATTGTGTTATTTCAGTAGATTTTATTATAAACCCTCCTGTGACCTGCTCAAAACAGCCACAGAATTCAAAACAGAGGTTCCTAGAGCTAAAAGCAAAATAAGCAGAGGATTTTAGTCAAGTGCTGAAACTTGCTTGTGCTTAAATGCCTGGACCCATGGAAATGTTGGT